TTTACTTTGCTCACATCAATATCCAGTGCCCCTAGGCGGTCTTCAATGCTTTCCTGCAGACAACAAAAAAGGACAGTGTTGTTTCATTGTTGTTTCAGTTGTTCAGCAGCATGGCAAAACTACGGACAACGTGTACAGGGCTTGCAGGAGAGAAAAGATTTTGACTACAGGGAAGTCTCGTTCATACAAAGAGATGTCAATATTAATTTTGCCTTCACAGCAAACAAAGATGATTAGAATTTATCTAAACTAAGTGCAATTACAACAGGATTGTGATTTTGCCGTTACTGCTGTATTTAAAGCACTTYACCTCTGTGTCTCCTGGTTTCCTTTTGCTTTTATTTTTCTCCTTTCCCGAGAGAGGCGTTTTGACAGACGCACTATGTCCTGGGATTCCAGGCACTAGAACTTTGGTGTCCGAGTTCACAACGGGCGTCTTGATCTAGCAGAAAGAAGGAGATGACCACATAAGCRTGAATGGATGCTATCTTGGCCTTTCTTTGAACTTAAAGTAATAATTTTATTCTGAGATCCACATACAAGTAAAAAGACAGATTTTTTTGAAGTATACATTAAAAAATCCTGTATTTTCAAGAAGCATGAATAACTTCAAGCAATAGTCACTAGTTTTCATAACTGAACTAAAGCAGCATAGAGCCTATGGAATCACTTTGAATCATTTCATTTTCAAGCTTGTTTCAGAGCCCTCACTGAATAGTGCTCGTTTCCAACACTGGACATGTGGGTCACTACTAGGAACAGACACCACACACACTAACCGTCAAGTCCATGAGTGACATGGACATTAATTCCCCTTCCACTGAAAGGCAAAAACTGCTTATGAATAGCTGAAAAAAACGYAGCAGGAAGAGATAGACAGTGTCTACTTCAATCACACTGATTTTCTTCTGGAGGGGGCTCAGAGGCAAAACTCAGCAGTCTGACCCAAACTATAACCATGACACGAAGCATAGCAACCTGAAATTATATCAAGTGTGGTAAAATCCCTAAAATGGCATCCATTTGCAATAACATAAAGKAGATTTAGTTTAACGGTAGTATGTTTAACAACTTGGAGTACTCAGGAACTAGGCTTCTTCCAGAAGACTTCTGTGAAGGCCATTTATTGACATACTTACCATCTCATTGAACTTTGAGTCCAGCTGGGTGCTTATTAACTACTACAGTGAGCATATCAATATCCAGGTGCTTTGGGTAAAACATTAGGATTTTATAAATAAAAATTTGATTCCCTAATCCAAGAACTTTMCCGCAGACTGCAATGACATTAAAATACTATCTACGTAGTTAACATACCACTGCTATCTTTCTCTTCACAATGCATGCTCAGACAGCCAAGAGAAATGTGTCTTCACTGGTATTCAGAAAAAAAGCGAAACCAAGTTGGAGGTCATCACAGCATGCCAAGGCATTTCTACACCTTCCAAAGCATTTCAGCTCTGTTACCAGCTGGCTCCACAGAAAGGAGTTTACTGCAAAGCTCCACCTGGCTGAGGGCCATAGCTCATCGAACAGCTCAGAACAGTGAGCACTGCCTGTGCTCCCCCTTTCCAGCCCCGTGGACCCATCCAAGGAACACTTTGGTCCTTACTAGCAACTCCATCATCAGTGAAACAGGAGAAGGACAGGAAAATGTGGACGTGCAAAAGCAATGCCCATGAACACATATACCTATTGATAAAGAACTTCATGACCTACCTCTTAACCCTGGGGGACCCTGCATGAGGGAAAATGGTGGCCAGTGGCCTCAGTGGACACTGATGCCATTTAAGCTTCAAGCTCCCATTCCCCGGTGCCATATCCCTGTGAGTAGGAACATGCGAATGCCAACTCAAGGCAGGGCCAAAATGACATCATCTTTACGGTTCTATTTCATTTTATTTAGATTAGAAAACCAAGGCACCCAAACCTCACCCCAAACCGTTAAGGTCAAACAGGTTGTACCTAAACTCTAGAGGAAAAACTCATCTAGAGCAGTACAGAGAGCAAGAAATAGAGGGAAACCTCTCTATCTAAGCATGTCTGCTGAGAAGAGGACTTGCTATGAGCATGCAGCCATGCATCAGAGCACGCTATGACACACCAAAACCACGATGCACACCTCACACACACCTGCCTCTCTGCTACAGACACCTGCTCATACTGCACTGCTGCAGCCCTGAATTCATCCATCCAGAAAGCCAGCCTCATCTTTGGAGAAACTAGTGTTTTCTTGCATTTCCAAAGTAAAACAAGAGCAGCAATGGGACCRTATCTCACACGCAGCTCACCTTTGTTACTGCCACATCTGTTTTAAGTGCCAACACTTTATGGACATCCCTTATCAAACATACGTGGGATTCAGTGGTGTTCAGAGACTAGGATGGAAAGAAATAATAACAGTTAACATTTGAAGTTCATCTCTGTGACTCATTAAGTTACTGAAAAATGAGAAAAAACTCCAGAAATATAGTGGAAAGTAATTTTTTTTACACTCCAGCTGCTTTGCACAGCTGCCTTTTGTTACCACATCTCTGTTCTGCAAAGAAGCTCACAAAGGTAAACTGAACCTGTACTAAAATGAGTTTCAAGAAGCCTTTGCAATAGCCTATTTGGTAACTAATGAAAATGGCAGGATTCAGTCAGCAATACTGCCAAGTTTAAATGCAAAAATAAAATGCAAAGTAAAAAAGAAAAAAAAAATCCACCCTCAAAAGAGTTTGGGGGCAAATGCTCCTTGTCCCTTCCCACTCAGAGCAGTATGGAGTCCATATTACAAAAACTGCAAAAACTCTGGTAGTGGCACTTACCACTCTCTCTATGATGGGCTGTAAGGTGTTGCCATACACAAGCAGCAGAGACTGCTTGTCTGTAGAAAATGCAGCTGCTAGAATAGGGACTGGTTTTGGCGTGGAGTCCTCGTTGTTTCCAGGCGTTGCTATCTGGATAGTACAGTTTGATGTTAAGGGTTTTTTGCAGTAACTGAGTATGGAGAGAAAAAAAAGAAAGAAATAAAAACATTCAACATGCTTACTTCAGAGGTTTCAGTATCATGTACAGGTAAACACTTTTCATTAGCAATTTCTGCGCAAACTTAGCCACAGTTTAGGTCTTTTACAGATGGTTTGGAGATATATGGAGACAAAAAACCTTGGCTAAAACAACAGTTATTAGCAAAGCACAGCAGAGCCTGAAACACAATTTCTCCTTCTGCATGTTAGCTATTCCTTTGCTATTCCTTCCGTGCACCACATACTCAAAGAACTCCTATTTCCCCCAAAACGAGTCATGTAACTTAAAGACAGGACCAGTTAGAAYGAAACTTGAGTTTTGCACAGATGCAGGAGCTTAAATATTGCAGCAATGCCTTACAATAATCACAAACCCTTCCCAAATACACTCTCTGGATGATATTAACTTACCCATTTAAAATATGTTCAAATAAATGCAACTGTCCGTCTCTGCACACAACTGCTAACTTCACAGGCTGAAAGAAGCGAGAATAAAAATTTTTAATTAGACCAAAGGACAACCCTCCTCTCTGCAGGACATTAAGATTTGTTTGTATGCTTATCATATTTTCTTCTTGTAGCTAAGCATACTACAGTTATAACTAAGWCTGTAAGGAAGGCTAAAGATAGTAACACCTCAGGTACGTTGAGGATAATTATTAGTAGATAAAAAGACAATTCATATAACTATATTTTTATTGTATRTTCTAATTTTGAACATGTCCACAGTTTGAAAGCTACCAGAGATGTGTGCACAGGCAGTAATGTTTCTAAAATACATCTCCCAACATGTTTAGAGGCAGAGGTGCAAACAAATGGGCTGAGGCTGTAAATATGCTTACAGAAACTGAGACAACTCCTCTTATCAATTAAATGAAAGGCGTACTTCACAGAATACTCTGTCTCCAATATATGCAGTAACAAGCAGAACCAGAAACATTTATAAAGACAGCATTTCAAACTATGCTTTTATTTAAAGAATCTAGAGGCACCAGGGGAAGCTTTAAAGGCTAACACAGTTTATGAACAAGTTTCATATGTACATTTTTTCTTAAGATGACTAAACACTTCTACTTCAACTGAAAATTGGAAGTATTACTTGATGAAAGTGGGAGATTTGGGGAATTCTTATTTCTTTACAGCTCAGTAGAGACTACTTAACTCAAAATGCAGTTACACTGCTAAAGTCATGCTACATGAGAAAAAGTGGAACTGTAATTCTATTTCAGAAAAAATARAATTCTGTGACTTTTAATGCCAAGATCTAACAAATAATTCCGATTACTAACTTGTCCCGAACAGGAAGCAACTAACATCTTCACCATCACAAGCAAAATTACCAAGTGCAAAATGAGTCTTTCAAACTATCACTTATAAATGCAAATGTAACAAATATGTGTAAAACCCCTGAACTGGCGGGCATTCAAATCTCATTTCTGCCTAACATAAATCAACACTACAAACCAAACTGCTTTCTTCTCCCCCAATAAAAGGAAACTGWTGATGACAACTCAATATTGTTGAACATACTTAGTTACAAACTACTCCTCCTACCTCTTCTTTGACTTCTGACACAGTCAGGTCAATAAACGTTGGTTCATCTGTTACTGTGAAAGACATCACGGCATTCTTCTCTTTCCTATCTGATCTGATTTGCCTGCAGACACAAACAGCACACATCATTATTTACCAGAGCACAAACAGCACCCTCTGAATCTGTGAGGCAGCACAGTATATAAAGGGTATAAGCAATGACTGAGGTAGTATTTACSTCATKCAAAGCTGAGGATGAGGCCTGTGCTCTAAGCTGAGGTCTCAGCTTTAAGGACTTAAGGACTGTTCTAATTCTAAACGCAAGGTAACTCCATGTGAGGTTAAACAAGAAGAAAAWTTAGCCTAAATCCTTCAAAAAGTTCAAAGAACAAGCAAGCCTATTGCATAGTAAGTTCTGAGCACACATTAGTGATTTCAGCAGTCACTACTGGAACCATGCTCAGACACAGCCAAGGAAATTCATGTCTTCACTCAGCAATCAGTACGTTGAAACCACAATTTAAAGAGGTCATCACTGCATGTCTCCAGAGTGCTCTTTCTGCTTAATCACAGAATTCAGAACATACATGTTACAGTCCAGCCTCAGTATTGACTATAAACAAAGCCAGGAAGTTTACGTACCATACACTCAGTAACCGGTCATGTACAGCTCCAGACAAGAAATAAAGTCCTGTAATTCCATCAAAGGGCGTATTTTCATTCATAGGCTTCACTGTGGTAAACGTTAATGATGAAACTGATGTAGCATGGCCTGTGAAATGCTATCAGGAAAAAAAGAAAATTCAAACGTTGCCACAAAGAGTCATATGGTAAAGATTAAAATATCAGTTAAGAAAGAATATCAGGGATGATCCAAGAATTACATTAAGTTGACACGGATGTTTCAGATTTTTTGTAAAACGTTCATCCAGTCCACTTTCTTTGCATTTCTGCATTTCCAGATAAGGTTTTCTAAACCTCTATATAATTACCAGAATTTTAAAAGTTAAACAAAGAATACAATCAAAATTAATGGGACTAAGCCCGTGAAAATAAAACTGCATCTGCTTGTATTGCTGTTACTGTCAAAAATACTTCCCAATTTGCTTCATCTTCTACTAGATGAATGAAACTAGATTCACAGTTTCATTTTCAGTTCTTACGATGAGCAAATAGGTCTGCTGACTTACTATGACTGCTCAAACTCTACATCTAYTCTAGACCCCAAAAAGTCATGTCTTCAACTTTACTTTTGCAAATCACGTGTTTGGCCATCACAGGACGCAGCCTACACGCTAGTTGCTACATGGCAACAAGAGAACAATTTGGATCCTGAAGTAACAACTTGCCTACTCCACAGCAAGCCCCAGGAGAGGTCCAAAGCCCAGTTACCTCCTATCTACCAGCAGGATTTACAGAACAGTCACAACGTGGTAACTGGCTCATGTGCAAGCCCTACCCAGGGAACAAGGATTTTGCTCCTATGTTTTCCAAACAGTAAAACTAAGGAGGACACAACTTATGTGAAGTTTAGCAAACAACTGCAATCAATTTGAAGAGACATCACAAAGCTCAGTGTGCTCAGACACACAAACCTCCGCCAACAGCAAGCTAATACTGTGGTGACCTGTGATCCTCTGCTAGCAGAGCATCAGAAAGGTGGAGGAAAGACAGATGGACAAACGGATCGGGAGGAAAAAAAAAAAAGACAAAACAAAAGAAAAAAACAACTAACTTCAATCTACAGGTTTGAGAAAGAGTGCTGGTAGTGTGCTCAGACACAGCCAAGGAATTTAACRTCCTCATTCAACTGTCAGCAAGTTGAAACCACATTTGAAGGTATCATCACAGCAACAGCTTCCAGCAGTCCCAAAGCTATCAACTGTCTCTCCATATCCAAAAAAGAATCAGATGTCCTATAAGCAACTACTAGACACATAATGTAACACATAGCTATCTTCGTTGGTGACATCTAGTGCAACAGTTACTTACTCTGTAGACTTCTTTGGTCTCCAGGTCCCACAGTTTTATAGTTCTACCAGCTGAAAGCAGCATCTTCCCGTCTGGACTGATGCATAGTGAGCTGACGCTGCTGTTGTCTGCTTTCCACTTGCTAGAATTAGGATGAAGGATTTTTTTGCACAAAAAGAAAAAATAAAATATTAATTAGTATTTTTTTTAATTTAAAAAAATGTTAGCCATGCTAAAAATCTTAAAGAAAAATTTATTTTAAAAAATCTAAAAAGTTGAAAATGAGACCAAACCTATTCTGTTTCTGCTCTTCTCCCTCAAATTTACACACAATAATACAGCACCTCAGCAAAACCAGAGAAGTTTAATTCTGAACCATTGTTCACATTTCTTTAACATTTGTGTCCTCTTTGATCTCTGTAAAAGATTCTAATACAAACCTCTCCCCTAACTTCTCTGTTACCCAAAATACAGCAACCTGAGCCGCACCACTYCAGGACATCTCTTTACATACCAATTCAGAAAGTATATACCAACTTATCTAGAAGGGATGCCTCTGAATACTAAAATCCTAGTTTTGCTTCAAAGCCTGTCATTGACACTTACAATAATAAACTTAGCCTCACCAACAGTCTATGAAGCCCGTGGTTCAGAGCATTAATTMAAAAAAAAAAAAATCTGTAATGAAATCCTTCTATCTGCTTAAAAARGTACTGCATGATTTTCACAGGACTAAATTGCAAGGAAAGCTTAACACAAATCCTTTCTTAGAAGTACTCTGCAACTCACCCCAATGTGACTGCAAACAGCTGCTCTAAAACATTTTCATACAACTTGTGCATGCTTGGGCAACACCTCTCTTCTTTCTTCTAAAACAGAACTTGTTATTGTCTCACTATTTTTTCACCATTGATTCATAGAAGTTGCAAGTTTTACTGCCTACAAACTTCACAAACAACATCATACTTCGCACAAAATACAGGATTTTGTATTCTCTCCCAAAGAAGACACGATTAAGGGAACTTCAAACTTAGCTCACTTTAGCAAGGGACAAGGTTTAACAARGTGAACATAATGTCTAGCTGCAAATGTATTTAAAAAGTTAGTCTAGATTAGACTATTCTTAATCTAAATCTGCAAGTCACAGCAAACATTTTAATTTTTGCTTAGCATATTCTTGATATAATTTTACAGAAAAACAAATTTGAAAGAGGGCATCATGAAGCAAGCAGCAGCATAATGCAGCTGAGTGCTCACAGAGTATTTGAGATGTAGAAAAGGTTAACAAAGAAAGAAAATCAACTCATAAAGATGAGACAGGGTGGGGACAGGGGGAGCATCTGAGTTGAAAGAACAAATGTGGTTCAAAGAACAACCAACACGTATTTCAATTCCTAACAAGGAGAGCTGCAGAAATCGGCTGCTTTTCTTTTTCTGAACTTTATTAGAATAAAATCATCATGGCACGTACCCTACCAAGGAGTTATTGAAACAGCAGTCAACAGAAATACAGGGTCCATCCTCACACCCACAGCTATTACTTTTTACATCAGTTACATTTAGCAACTGATGTGCTTAAAGAGGCATTCAGATCAGGCCCTGGCTCAAAGTTAAATGCATCATGCTTTCATAGGTCCAAGTCTGCAGAAAACCAGCATGTTTTAGAAATACCTAGGAGCAATAAACAATGCTTAGCTAAGTTTCCTTCCCCATTTCTAGATGACCTCTCTCCAACATCTCATCTTGCCTCCTGCTATGGAGTAACTCCCTTTTCCCCAAAAGCCCATTCCTCWAACAGCGATTTCAATTTGTGCTCCACGGGTTTCCTAGAGTGGTTCTATGGACTGTTTCTATAGTAACTGAAAGAGTTAAATCTATAGTCATGTGGTTTTAATTCCTTATGTAGCATTCCTCACCTCTGCTGGAAAATGCTTAGGAATTTGCCAATTGAAAGAAATCTAATACCACCTCTCTACCCCAAAGGCAATCATCCCAAGTTCCCCATAAGACACATAAGGATTCATTTTCCAGGTACTCCWAAGTATTAAAAGTATACAGATAATCTGAGGTACGCTAAGCATAAATATGCTGAGTGCCTTTTTCCTTCTGCTCTTGTCAACACAGCTAAAGTCTGGGAGAATTATTATTCCACTCTCTTCAATTTCAGTAACCTTAGATACATCAAAAGAGAAAGTTTTCAGGTAAATGCATTATACTAGATTGCTRGTCTACCTTTTTTTTTTAAACATATTCTAGTAATGATTTTTGTCACCCACTTCAAAGTTAGGAAATGGGACTATAATTTCCTTTTATATGTTCAATTACCATGTCAAGTCTAGGAGTATTTACCAGGATACTCCTAGCAGTTGCTGTAGTTCAGTAGAAGCTGAGCACTGTCACAAAGTAGTTGTGATGATATTCAACCTTTCCGCAGTTTCTAGGGGTGGTGTTGTTCAATTCAATTCAATGAAAAAAGACTTCAGTGGGAGTAGATGCGTTCTGTGTATCAGCAGGGGTTGAGTAGCTGGTGTCACAGGCTTTGGCTTTTCTATAGGGGCCAAGTGAGGTAAAAGCAAGTTTGCCAATAGGCTTGCTAATCTGGTGAAGAAGTAATTAAGCAGTTTTGTTGCTGTTGTTTTTCCTGAATACAGTAACCAAAGTCCCCTCTGTAGGGGCAGATGGAAATACGCATGAAAAAGCATGACAGGAAAGATTTTCACTTTATCAGGATAAATCAGCATGTTGGGAGCCTATCTCAAGTGCCTACATAAGAACACACAGAGTACAGGAAGCAAAGAGGAGGAATTAGATGCCTATGTGCAACTTCAGTGCTTTCACCTCCCTGGTCCACACAAGGAACAGCAGGACAGCTTGGAAGAAGGGAACGCTGACTTTTAGGAAGCATCTTTAGGAAGGACAGGCTGGCAAGGCAAGATTTGCTCTACGCAAAAGGGTGGCTCAAACACAAAGCTTTGCTTTGAAACAGGCAAGAAAAACAGCTGAGCACTTTTTGATAAGGATMAGAAGAGACCAGCAAGGGTGAGGTGGTCTGCTACATATCACCCAATTAAAAACAAATAAAGCTTCACAGTTCCAGGCTCTGGCTTTAAGCACCCAGCATCTGGTAAAAGGGCAACATACAGGAGCACCAGCAACCCTGGAGACTTATGGCAAACACTGACAACAATTTCTTAATGTAATTGACTGACAACCAGACTAAGAAAGGTGCTTTACTTAACCAGCTACTTAAAAAGGGAGAACTGGTCACAATATGATAGTTGACGACAACTTAGCTGTAAMAAGCACAAGACAATGGAATTTAAGATTCTGAGAAAAATCAAGGTAAACAGCAGAATTACAGCCCTGGAGAACAGACAACTTGTTCAAGGAACTCGCCATCAGGATCCAACCGGAAACCCCTCTGAAGGACAAAGGGGCCCAGGAAAGTTTGCTGATCTCCTGACATAAGAAAATGTCCATTCAGATGTGCAGAAAGTCACCAGACATTGCTTGGTCAAACAGGTAACTCCTAACCGAGCTCAAACACACACATAGGAAAAAAAAAAAAAA